ATATTAACACTGTAAAAACAACACTCACTGCACACTGAAAAGTGTTAAAGGTAACACTGAATGGTGTGGTCACATATAGACACCATGCAGTGTTAATTTAACACTGGCACATTTCCTGTGTAGACTCCGAGTTTCTGCCTGCCCCCTTTCTGGACCGACGCCGATCGCCCGACCACTGCCTGGACCCTTGACTGTGTTTTTAGTCTTTGCCCCTTTCTGGACCGACGCCGATCGCCCGACCCCTGCCTGGATTCCCGGCCGTGTTTTTCGCCTCTCCCCCGTCTGTACCGAAGCCGATCAACCTGCCTCCCCGCCTGAGTTTCAGCCACGCTCTCGGGCTTGGTCCTGGGAACTTCTGATCTTCCTAGAAGAAGAATATAATAAACAATCAGGACTTACAGCTTGCCGCGTCAGTGTCCGTCTTGCATCCACAACATTTCTAGGGAGTTTTTCTTGCCACTGTCGCCTCCGGCTTTGGGCAGGGATAATTTAAAGCGATTTGAGACAATGTTATGTTGTGAAAATGCGCTAGACAAATAAAATTTAATTGTATTAGAAAAAGGTCACATGTCATACAACTGTGTAATGCAAAAAAACATCAAAAAGTCACATATCAAATTGAGACCCAGTACTAACAACCAACCTGCCCCATACAACCACCAGTCTCTGCCAAATCCCTACAGCTGACAGTGTATGAGCTTAATGAGTGGTCATTTCCAATCAGTGCTGGCTGGGTTTCAGTACCTGAGGCATCCAGCATCGTGACGCTCCAAACCCCAGCCTTGTGCTTTTTTTATACCTCCTGTCAGCTCACATCTCTATTGTACAATGAGGTTCTCTGGAGTCTCAAAAGGGGCCAATTGTAATTTACTGTCCTCTGCTCCCTGTGTCATCAACAGAGCTCAGCACAGTCAACAGTGGAGGACAGCGAGAGGATCTTCACTGAGATGATCCGCTCCATTGAGAGAAGACGCTCTGAGGTGACAAAGCTGATCAGAGACCAGGAGAAGGCTGCAGTGAGTCAGGCTGAAGGAGACATGGAGAGACTGAAGCAGGAGATCGATGAACTAAAGAGGAGGCACTCTGAGCTGGTGCAGCTTTCGCACACAAAGGATCACATCCATTACCTCCAGGTAACAGAACAGCTACTTTGGCAATAAGAAAACCATAGTATTCAAATGAAAGCATATTGTAATTTGTATTTCAACTAGTCTGTCATTTGTCAGATGTTAAAGGTCCTGTTAATTAGACTGCAATACACATTTGTATTGATGAAGCTGTTTAATCAGACTGTGTGTCTGTAGAGGTGCCAGACTCTTCCTGTCACCCCTGAAGCTGGATTTGGACCCAGAATCTCTGTCAGTCCAAGATCTGATTTTGGGAATTTGAGCAAGGTGGTTTCTGAACTGAAAGATCAACTGGAGAATGTTTGCAGAATGAAAATGGCAGAGATCCATCACCCAGGTTAATACATTTTCTAGTCTGTTCATATTAATATAGACCAGGGGTGGCCAATATTTTCCAGAAAGGGCTGCCATCTGCGGGCTTTTGCTGGATTACTAATTACAGGACTGGTAGGCTGAAGAGTCTTCACACCTGGGGTTGAACAGCTGACCTACAGGTTATCCCAAAGACCTTTGTACACACTGGCACTTTGCAGGTAAGACTGGCCACCCCTGATGTAGACCATGCAGAGAGAGTATGCAGTACAGTCAGCCTCACATTTCTGTGACCAAGTCGGTTTGTTTTCAATAAGTTTAAATGTTTGTGATAACTGGTGAAAGAGCTTCACATTCTACTGGCTGCAAAACCCAGATCACATGAAACACATTTCTTCTACATTATAGAAACCAAAAATCTGTATTATGTGTAACTTATATGTGATTTGCAGTTCGTTAAAATGCCTGTTATTGTCCCTCATAATGATAATACCCTACTGCTGTTATCTCCACAGTGAGTGAAGTCCATCTTCCACAAGTAAATTCCTTTTACTCACATCCCTGTTTCTCTCTGTCTCCTTCTAGTTACTAAAGACACTGTCGTACCGGTATTAGTGCCCAGGCCCAGAGCAGAATTCTTACACTGTGAGTCTGTTTACACACACGCTTCTCTCTCTCTGTATGAGGTGGAGTGTGTTTTATTGTGTTTCATTTTCTTCTGCTAGAGGAGCTTCTCTTTCTCTCTCCTGCTGCCTCCTGGTCTTTCACATTTACATGAGCTTTTTATCTCAGTAGACTTTGAATCCAATTGAAGAGTAAGGCAAGTTTATTCAGGGTGCTTTTCCACTGCACCAGGTATGGTACTTTTGGTTCTTTCCCTTTTCCATTGACTTCCGGTCGAGTACCAGTACCAGAAGTTCCAGTACTAAAAGTACCATTGCAGCTGGGGTACTTTTTTGGTACTTCAGAACTTTGGTGTGGGACTTACAAACACGTTCATTGTCAATTTTAAAGACAATTTTAAAAAGTCTAAAAGCCCAAAAAAAAACAAATAAACAGTTAACTAAAAAGAAGTGACATTGTAGAGGCAACGTATGACTAAACTCCTGCTGATTTAATTTACTGAAAAGCTGCAGCAAACAGTAACGTTTAAGCCCTGATTATAATGAGCTGACAGTGTTAGCAGACCTCAGATCTTCAGGAAGCTTGTTATACAGACAGGGAGCATAGAGACTAAAAGCTGCTTCAGCCTGCTTGGTCTTCATTCTGGGAACACTGAGTAAACCTTTGCCAGATGACTTCAGGGGTCTGGATGCTTCACGACGTTCAAGGAAATTAGTGCCATTTAGTGCCTTGTAGACAAGTAATAATATTTTCAAATCAATCCTGTGATGCACAGGAAGCCAGTGCAGTGATTTAAGGACCGGTGTAATATGCTCTACTTCCTTGGTGTTAGTGAGGACTCTGGTGGCAGCATTCTGGATGAGCTGCAGCT